CTGAATTGATTGATTAAGAGACCCTTAAAGGATATGCAAATTACTTATAGACATTGTTGGGATGGTATACAAATTTGAGGTCTCTTTGAAAATTAAGTGATATTGTAGGAGCTCTGTAATATGTGCTTTGATAAGCGCTTTAAAAAGATCTGTAGAAATTAAGGTTTACTTAGGTTGAGTTTTGATACTGATGGGAATATTATTGGGAACGATTACATTGGAGTAAAAATAAGATTAAATATATTTAAACATCAAATTACGAATCCCTAAACATCCCAAAAAGGAGCTCCAATCCACAGCATCAGCATGTTCTGTACAATCAGTTCATCGAATATCGACCCAATCGTATCATGCTAAATGTGGGAGTTTTGCATCCATTAAAGTCCATAAACGAGCCCTCTAAAAACGCGCCTTTGAACCTGAACGAGCCCCTAAATAAATCCTTTCGAATCAAATTGTATCATCCTCAATTGGGCAATTCCTCAATCTTTAAATAGCTGTTTCATTCGAAGTCTACAATACGAGCGTTTCCAGGAATGCCTGAGCGAAACCCTTAACTAGTGCATCTTATGCCCCGGAGACCACCTGGAGATGTACTTGTGCCACCCGCTGGGGAGTAGGTTAAGACCAAGTTTACGTTTTCTATTCCTGGTTGAGATTTTCCCGGAGCATTTTCCGCTTGAAAGGAGCGAGCGCTCCTCTCCCATAATTACCTCATGTCGTACCTTATGCAATTTCGACTGCAAGGAGCGGATGGTATATGTAACTCTCTGCCAGGAGAGAGCAGGATCAGAGAGAGAGAGAGAGAAACCCACCCCCGGGGAAGGGATTCAATTGTGATGTGGTCCTGTGCATACACACAGGAAACGGAAAAGTGCAGAGGGGATATTGCATCACGGGAGAAGAGACAGACCCAGATAACTGTCGAAGCCAGACCGTTATCCACTATTCATAATGTTTTTACCTAACTATTTGCACCCCACATCCACCTCCTACACGAAATATCCTGCTTGAAAGCTTCCCTTTTGCCAGAAGAGAATTGCAAGCTTGCCGCCTGCATTCCAATTGGATTAATGGCGCAAAAGGAAACAAAAACCGCAAGTGGTTGCCACATGAGACAGAGAAGAAACCGAGAGAGACTCGACTCTCAGAGAACAGAAAAACATAAGCAGAGAATCGAGTCGCACACACCAATGCAAAAGTTTTGCATTTGCAATGGGGCGCAAAGCAAAAGCAAACACAAAAGCCCACACACACGCACAAACACACGCATACATGCACATAAGACGCCTCGGCGGGGGCGGCGGCAGCGAACCAATGCAAAAAAGCCGAAAGTCGCTCTCAGCGCAGGCGAAAACTTGTTTTGTTGCTGCTAGCGACGGCGCAGCCAGCGCCGCTGCCACTTACCCTGGTGCGCAATCTAAAGACCAATGTTTGAAATTTGTAAAGAAATAAATTCATTTCATTTAAGTGACAAGGGGCCAATATTTTCAATGAAATTGTTGGAAAATGACTCAATATCTGCCATGAAACATAGTGCTATAACTTAAATAACTTAATTATTCGATTGCTATCCATTCTGTGTGATACACAAGCACTTTTTTTTCCTAGAATACATTCAAAATAGAAGTGAGCTCAAAGAAGGTAAAGGAAATTCAAGTGCAAATTCTTTTGCAGACCACTTTCGTACCACTGTAAGCAGAGAGCCGCCGCTCTATGCTTTGGCTGCGCTTTGCTGCGCTCAATGCTGCGTTTACTCTCACTCTCTGCCCGCCGGGGCGACTGTTGCGCTCCTCTGACTGGTGGTGGTGGCTCCGCTCTGGGGCTGGTCTCTGTCGCCGTCGCTGCCGCTGCCCTGCCTCTGCCTTGCGCCCGGTTGATAGGCCATAAACGAAAATTTTGAACTTCATGCTCGTCTATTCGGCTCGGTCTATTCGGTGGTTTCGGTGTGCTCGCAGCGGCAGCCAGCAGCGTTGTGTGCATTTCTATCGTCTCTCTCGTGTAAAAAGCAGCTGAAAAGCTAACAAGCAGCGGCCGCCAGCACAAAATAATACAAGAAATTCAATATATTCCCAAAAACATACAAAATTCAAAAACTAACGAAAATATCACAAATATTCGAAGCAAAGCGATAATCGAACGCCATCAACAAAATACAATAATTATTATTTATTTTCTGTACATGGTTATTGTGGGAAAACTGTAGTGTTCCCGATCGGAAAACGGTTTACGGCACTAAAACATTTTTTCATTTATTATTTACATTTTTGGTTTGTGTTTCAACAAATGCAAAAAGAAACATAACGTTAGACTGCATGTGCGTGAGTGTTTTTAAACTGTGTTTATTAACAAGTGATTGAAAGGTAATTTGGTGGTTAGAAAATACAAATAAATAGCAAAAGGTGCACTCAAAAAAATCAATGAGATCTCTGTTAAAACATTCATAAATACATCAGGAACCATGGGAACCATTAAATAATCAAATAAAAGTGCACTGGACAAAGTTTTGTTTCATTTAAAAACTGCACTTGGCAAATGTTTCCATAAATACTCCCAAGAGAAACTGCAGTCTTCGCAAGTCACAAATAACTAATTCAAGCAGTGCAGTCCACAAGCGAGCTGTTCGTGTGTGTGAGTGTGTGTGTGTGTGCAAATGTCCATCAATGGGGTGGCTGTTCTGCAACGGTAAATTCGCAGTGGCAGCAGCAGAAGCAGCAGCAGCATTGAAACGGGATCACAAACTGAAACCAAAAGCAAACAGTGAAAAATAAAAGTGAAGCAAAAACTTTATGCATAACGAAAAACAAACCGTCTGCATTTTTAATCAAGCAACAACAATAGCGCATAGCAACAACAACAATAAGGCGAACAATAAACAACCCTCCCCGTACCCCGCGCCCCACCCCTGTCGCAAACACAAACACACACACACCCCACCCCACCCCACCCCGCACTAGCACACCAACAACCTCCTGAGGCACAACCGGAACATAAACAAGGCGAAAAATCCAAGTGAATTTGAACCCCTTTTTTGGCACAGCCCAAAATTGCCCCTCTGTGACTGTGTGTGTGTGTGTGTGTGTAGATGTGCATGTTTTGTGTGTGTTGAAAGTGCAGAAGTAAAATAGTGGTAGAGAGAGCACTGAAAGAGGGAATAGGAAGAGCGAGAGGTGCAAGAAGTGCATGGAAAACTAAAAACTAGAAAAAGGACACTTGTTTCGTTATCAAAGAGAAGCTGTGAAAATCGGCAAGCATTTGTGTGTAGCAGAGAAAGAAGTGAACAAAGTGATGGACTACACTGAAAAAATAAATACTGAAATGCAAGCGCAGCAATAAGTTGTAATACCAGCATTTATTTTCACATTACAAATTGTTAAAACCCCTTCCCAAAGCCAACCCGGAACTCAAGAACTCTACATTAACCAGAATTCTCCTATAACAGGCGATAAGTGTAGATTCCATTTATTTGTGCACAGCTGTTCTCACCGAAAGAATGCCAACCCCAATCAAAGACTCTTTGGAGAGTTGGGAATTTGAAAGACATTTGCCAGAAGCCAAGTGGGAATAAAACACCAGAGAACACCAAGAAAATGAATAATTCTCCGATAACAAATCGATTTGTGCAATTCACTTTACGAGCTGGGTCGACTGCCACTGATAAGAAAACTATGATGGGAATACATACGAATAAGCTTATTTCATTCTGTGAATCGACGAGACTCATCGTTGAATTCATACATGAAATAAATATATGAAAATACAACCGATTGTATAAAAATATGCTTCGAGTAGAACCATATATAAATACATAATGCTTGTTATCAGTAGAGTATTTTTATATATGGATGTACATATGTACATTTACGTACACACGTACGTATAAATCGAATAAGTATATTTTTAATACAAATCTAAGCTGAAAATTATATGTAGTCGGTATCGATTATATAAATATTCTATATGAATAACGAGCTATCATATAAATTATATTTACTGTAGTTTATAATATTAATAGAATAATTTTCTAACCTATTTCGCTCCCATTCCTTACTTGCAGCCAAATGTCACTGTGAAAATGACTCCACAAATCGACACAAATTTCAACAATTTCGACAACGGCCTGGGGAACATTCAACGACACAAGAACCGGCAAATGCAACAAAATGCAACTAATTTGAAACTATTAACCAACTGAAAATCAATGGCGAAAAATTGAAATTAACTTATTTAGAATTGAATAACAAATTGGAAAAAAATGAACTGAAGAAGATTTTATGAAAACCAAACGCTACGCAAAAATTTACAAATTGGCATAAAATAATTTTTGGTCTATATTCAACACCAACAAAATTTAAAAATAAACAAAGGAGATTTTTGGCAAAGCTGCGTGCAAATAAATAATAATATAAATTATCTCAAACGTCCACACGGGGAAATGTTTTGCAACTAAAGGAAAGTAAAAATTTAAATAAAATCAATGTAAAATTGTAATTAATCAAACCAAAAACCGTCGTAAACAACAAATCAAAGAAAAAACAAAACCCAAAATCACTTAGAAAACAGAGGGAAATCTTTTTGGAACAAACGCAAAAAGCATCAAAAATTTAAGCCAACAAAATTGGTCAACTCTTCAAAATTATTGGTTCGGACATACCGCAATACTATACACAGCAACACCTACAACAGCAACAACTACAGTAAAAAATACTACAGTAACCGCTACAGTAATCACTCAGTAACAACAACAGCAGCAGCAGAGAACGTGTGTGTTAGTTTGCATAAAAATTTCGTTTCGATAAAAAGCTAAAAAAGTAAAAGCTAAAAAAGCAAAAGCAAAACAAAACTTTAAATAAACATAAATCGTAAAAATATATTTCTAAAATACATACAAACATATATATCTATTCATATATCCATGCTTACAAAATCTTATCGAAAAGTATTTGGACAACAATTTTGATAATTATAAAATTATAATTAATTAAACAAAAAACAGAAACATTTTGGCATAAGAAAGTGTGTAGGAAAGTGAAGTGAATGAGGAAGAAGGAAAAACTTAAGAAATTCAAAATTAACATTTGTAAAGAGTTTTACAAATTGAGGATTCAATCTGGATTCTGGTTTTGGATTAATGCGAAAATTTGCAATTGGATATTAAGGTGAGTTTCAAACATACACTTTCATACTTCAAATAAATAAATAAAAGAAAATATCTATGCATAGAACTGATGAATTTTCTAATCAATCAATCGGACACATCAAAGCCAATTTCCTAGCATTAATCTGTTGGATATTCTCCCGACAATTGTTCGTACCAAATATATGTAGATTACCTATAAGATACATAAGATACATACCCTCTAAAAATATGTGCTTAAAGGTAAAAATGTTGTTTTAGAAAGTGTCGTCCACAAACATTTGCAAACAATTACAGGTACGTCCCTTTCCTATACCCCCCAACCAAAATACCCTGCCTCTAATTACAATTATAATTTATGCAAAAAAAAACAGTAAGAAATACATTTTTTTCCAACGCAACACAAACGAAAAAAATTGTCTACGCACTTTGCGTATGATTTATGACACTCTACTCAGCGTTGCATATTAATAACGGTAATGCGTGAAAAGCAGAAGAAGAAAACCAGCGAAAAAAAATAGAAAAATGAAGCAAGAAAGCAAAAGTTGCTTATGTAGTTGACATTTCTACATGCGTATGCATTGTACATACTTATTTATGTAAAGTTGTATGTAGGCGCATATGAAAAGTATGTATGGATACCATTTGCATCAGTGGCGTGGGCAGGATTACTATTTCCGTGTTTAAACCATTCAGCTATAAAAAAAGCTTAGGATCCATAATAATTAGTACCTTTTTCCTGCTCGTAAGAACTGCAGGATACAAGTTTTTACAAAAGTTTTCATACATTTAATGCTTAAAAATTATCTGTGCAGAGGGTAACTTGCAGTCGTAATACTCTACCATAGCCTGCTCTTACCTGTTTCTTTTTCAATAACATTTTGTATAGAATTGCTTTAAGGGTGTTTTAATCCCCCATAAATCCCTCCTGCCGCCTATGCCTCTGTCACACATCCCCTTCTAAGGGCTGTGCATAAATTAAAAATATATTACTGCGCTGGTCTTTCCCTGCCCCTCTCCTCATTCACTGCACACTGCTGCTGATGGCGTTTCATCTAAGCCAAAAACTGCGTCGCAGTTGACACGCAATCCCCCCATTCAGTCAGCCGCTGCCATCGCCACTGCTGCTGACTGCTCTGCTGGCATTGCTGCTACTTTGACCTACTTAGTGGCGCAGCGTGTTCCAAATTTTGTGGCGTTGTGTGTACTCTTTTTTTTTGTGCTGTTGCTGTTGTTGTTGTTGTTGTTGTTGTTGTTGCTAGCTCACACGCCCTCCCTGTCTGGGTTTTCTATTGCGTGTAGTTTTTCTGTTGCTGTTGTTGTTGTTGTTGGGGGTCTTCCGCATTTAATTAAATGCACAACTATTTTTTTGTTTCTCTTTTTGTGTCTTGCTTCGTTTCTTTTGCGCTGCATTTTCACTTGTCGGAAGTGCGTCTCCCTCTGGCACACACACTCGCACTGCTTCTTACTCACACCTTCGTCTCGCATGCTCTCTCTCACGTGCATTTGCACAATCGTTAAGTTTGTTTCCTAGAATAGGAGGGGGGCCAACCAACCAATCCCCATCTCCCTTGCACACTCGCCCCGTCCGACATGTACCATGAGAGCGCGCATATTTCTCTGGTCTGAACTGCTTGGATGTTGTAACTGACGCAATGCAAGTGACTCTCATTCTTGCGGTTGTTGTTTCTGTTGCTGTTGCTGTTGCTGCTGTTGTCGGTGTCGGCACTTGCGTAAAGTGTCTATGATATGCCGCCCCCCTTTCTCTATGTGGGTCTCTTCTGGTCGTTATAATTGTTTAAATTTTATGACTTGCCACTGCAGTTGCCTGAATTTTAATGCCAACGATTACCAAGAAAGCCAAAAGAGCAGTCAGCAACCACAATAAAAGAAAGAATACGGAACACACACACAAAATGCAACTTTATGTTGCAACAAGAGAAAAGAGCTACGAGCTTTGGTGCTCGAAATTTAAGATACCCTGCATTCATGACACATGAATCTTCATTCTCTTTTGTTATTATTCCCAACGATGCAATCGACTGCGCTACAACTGCTCCCCAGTTGCATGATTGTGAGTACAGTTGCTTCAACTTGCCGAAGGGTGGCACTGTAGACAGCAGGCAATGAGGCAAAAGGCCAATTGAGACGTCATCATTGAGAAGCATTTGGCAATGCATTTACATATTTTTTTTATTGATTAAGTATTTGAAGAGTGTTGCAACAGAAATCTTCAATAATTATATCCACTTAGAAAAATCTCCACGTAATGGAAAGAAAGTTAAATGTAGCTGCAGCATAACCCCCGTTTTTGTGCCAGAAACCTACACCTGCACCTTCACCTCTATGTAAATTCCTCTAATAATTATAATTATGATCATGATATTACTGTTAAACTGTTGCAGCTAAAACACGCACATGTTTCCGGCAAAGGCTGCATTTGGCATTCAAATTGTAATCTTAAAAAAAATAAAATAAAAAATGAAACTTACATGGAACTTGACCATAAAAACCATCGTATGAAATAATCGTCTTTATGAGCTGCTAATTAGACTTATCAAATAACGAAAAGGCCAACACGAATAAAAGTTTTTCTGGACTGCAAAAATTTGACACAGGAGTGGATGGTGGGAGGGTTATGCTGAAAGGGGAGTGCCCGACCCGACCGAATGGAAACCTGTCAGCGTCAGTCAAAGTGACAATTTTTTTTACCCATTTGCTTCTCTTTATTTAGTGTTTTTTGTTGTTTTCTTTGGGTATGTTGTTTCCATGGCACTTAAGTGTTGACTATACATAGAGAAACGTACCACATGAGCATAGGTAGGCCTATCTTCAGAGAGGCATACATTGTATGTATGTACATATGTAGATACATACATATTTGTGGAGCTATGTGCAATGCCTGTTGGGGTTTGGCAAACTAGCTTTTATTTTTCCGTATACCCTTAGAGAAGGTATTTGTGTTTTGGTCAGTTTTGAGCCAAATGTGTATAATAATGTTTTCAAAAATTGCTTGTTTTAGTTGCCATTTTAGTACATGCCATGCCACAGCAACGAACGATCTTCAGAGTATCTTTAGCTTCGGTATTTCGTATAAAAGTATTTTATTTTTTCGTGCAGCTTTTTTCTGCCCACTATTCCCCGGTTGGGTTGCTAATTGCCAGTTGCCTTTTTGCTCTACTTCGCACACACACACAGAGATAAACAATCGAAAGAGCAAACGAAATGAAACTTTTGCATGCAAGCAGCACCAGCAGCAGCAGCAACTCCACTGTGTGGGTGTGGGTGTGGGTGTAGCATGTACCACGATGGTTGCCATACCGCAATAGTTTGCACAAATAGAAAACGCATTTCATGGGCGGTCGGTCATCGTTGTGTCTCTTTTTCTCTCCGCAACTCCACCTAACTGTCTCTCTCTATGGCTGTCTGTGCTTCGCTTTGGGTTGGTTTTATCTGCATTGAACAGCGGTTGAAATGTGTAAAGTTTCATTGCCATTCGAGAGTGCGCTATGTGTGAAGAGCCGTAAAAATGGCATATACCAAGTAGTACATAGCCAGAGGAAATGGAAGTTATGGGAATTAATAAATATGTTTGAAACACTGTGAAAGAGGTTTTTTGGGGTTTGTATTTGGTTGGAATGATTTATTGGGATAGGTTTTTGATCTGTTCTTTTAGAACTATGAACTATTGAAGAATTTTGATGAACATCAAATAATAGCTCGAAATTTCGCAGTAAACATTTCTCATATAACAAGTAAATAATAAAATACAATTTAAAATGGAACAAAAATTGCAGGCTGCCAACAATTCTACACACAAATTTGTCAATTCATAGCCAGAGAGAGGCTATTACATCACAGCCCCAGAACAGAACTGAATGCTGATAATTCCGAAATAAAAAAATCCCGCACACAGGCACACAGAAAGCCACGTGTAGATTCGTATAAATTTTAGACACATGCAGAAGGGCGCAGCAAATAAATAACAAACAAAAAATATGCCGAAAAAAAAGAGTCGAAAAATTACAACAAATCAGAAAGAGAGGAAAAACTAATGGCTTTTGTCGTTTGGTGCTATATAGGAAATACAGAAATGGAAATACATGGGCCTATGTACATACACTTGTCGTCGAACGCCATGTACTGGGCCTACATATCTCTCCCTCTCTTTCAGTCACACTCTTTCGCAGTCAATCTCTATCTCTCTTTCAGTCAGTGCGAACGCAACGAAACGCAAAAAAGCAGCAACAAAAAAATATTCACAAGTCGCATCAAAACTGTTGGGAGAGAGAGAGGCAGAGAAGTGTTAGAGAGAGTCAGAGAGCGACCTACAATTAAAATGGCTCAAAGTGCGTAAGAGGCAGGCAGTGGTGGAGGGGGAGGAGTGGGCAGCAGCTTGCACAGCAACAAAAAAATATAAAAAAATCTACGAAAAACGGCAGCAACAGCAGCAGCAGCGATAGAAAAAACCTTGAACGCCACAACATAATTAAAAATGTGCGTAGACACACCAACACTGTCAAGGAAGCACACACATAGAGAGAGGAAGACCGATAGAGAGAAATACAAAAAATACTTTTGCAGTGCGTAAAGCTTTTCTCGCTTCACAAATGACATTCACGCGCAATAAAGGCGGCAGGCAGCAACAGCAACAACAAAATCATGAACCTAAAAAAAGCTCAACTGCAAATACAACAAAATGCCTTTTTTACGAGAAGTTGTAGGGGGTGTGTGGGGGAACGAGGAAGTCTAAAAATGGCCGCAGCACAAAAAACTACTCGTAGGCCTATGACCAATGCAAACGTGAGAGAGAGAGAGAGACAGGAGGAGATAAGCTTTGCAAAGCTTTGCGATGCCACACAAACGCACACAGAAATTGACAGAAGCTTTTGGCATGGCACGATCTATACATCGATCTATAAGTCTTTGAGGGAAAATTAAATTACAGAAAATGTAGTTAGAGTTTGGTTTTATTATATTTTTAATCAAATTAAGAAAGTCAGAAGACATTAAGACAAATCT